CTATGATATCGTCGAAGATACTTTCTGCTTTCAGAATAAGTCAGAGCACAGTGGGAAAGTAAGTAAACAATAAAAGCTTTATTGCTTTGGGCTGAAAGGGCTACATATCGATGTGGTAAAAACGGTTTGAAGGTCAGGATGCGTTGTAGTATCTGAGATCTATAATCGAGTTGGGGAAATAAAGTTAGTGAGTTTAGAAAAGGTGAATTCGTATACTGACATAAAATCTTGGTGTTTGCACTTTCTTACTCAGGATGAAAGAAAATTCATAAATTTTCATTTCCATCAATATACATTTTTATTGTCGAGTTTTTTCGTATAGGTAGACGGCAAGAATCTTACCTGTGCAAAAAATTCGAGAGGTGCAACAGTGTTGAAAGCCGTTGATAGATCGATATGAATTTTTGTCATTTTATTGAAAGTTGTGTGGTAAATGAAGCGACTAAACTACAAAACTTAGATGTTCTCCCTCCTCTATATAGTTGTCCCGAATTAGCAGCAGATATAACGATTCTTTTGATGCAGAAAACTTCTATTCATGACTGCAGTGCGCAATTTCATATGATTACCAAAGTGCAAAACTCATATGTAAGTGGTTAACCTTTATACAAGCAAAGAAATAAGATATAATTAAAAGTATATTACAGTACAAAAAATCGGAGTTATAGACGGTATTTTTCCAACTAAAAAGCTTGCACGCTCCAGCGATATGAGCCATAGTGGTGCACGACATACGACAGTCGTCATCAGTGTTTGATGGAGAATTTGGCAAGTCAATAGAACTACTTAAGCAAAGACTATGAAGGAGAAGACTTCAACAATATCCACAGGTACGGAATGAGGACAACTGATGCTGCCCACATTTGGAGTGAAAGAAAGTTATTGCGTTGCTTTAGGCTTTCAGCTAGTATGAATCGACAGAGGTTTAGGGCATTTCGTAAAACAGGGATATAGATCATGGATTATCAGAATAATAATTAGACTAGTAGCTGAGAAATCTTAAAAGGGTAGTGATTGAATTGCTGCTACGCTGTATGTGGGAAACTTCGTCAGAAAGAGAGCGCAAAAAAAATTTCTCTTGCAATTTTTCCCAAAATGAACGTAGCATGGCACAGATTTGCCGATTTGTCTTCCAGAGTATTCATACGGATAGGCAATCTAGCAATTTAAAGCAGATATCTGTGAGGGCAAATTCATTTCTTTGTCCATCCGCTTTTCTGTTTGCTGTGCGAATCTCGACCTACTTGTGGTCCTACATGTTTCCGTCTCAAACGTTTTTTAGCTGCCTGAAGACTTTCTCTTTATAGAATATTAGTCGAGTCATTTCTTCTCGAATCATGATGCGAGCGTTACCACGGCATTCCAAGGTGGCCCTGGGAGCATGCAACACCGAAAAACATTTACTCGCTTTCAACAAAATAAATGACTGTCAACAACTTCACTTTCATAGTTTAGTGATATGAAAAGTGAACAGTACAGAAGGGAATAGAAAGAAGGTGAAAGCTACCAGAGTAATAAATAATGAGCAGTTTGCGAATGCGGTAACGAAAACAAGTTGTAGTAACATAGGCATTCTCATGCAAAACGATAGAAAGCTGTATAATCTGAGATAATGCGCACTCAGCCATTCATTTATATCTTCAGAAATGCTGATATTGAGACAAAGGCATCTATAGAAAGCTTGCCTACGAAAAAAGGTGGCTTAATGATACTGGACGCTAATACGGTACCTGGACGTGAAATCATATGGGCCACCTAGCTAACTCAGGACTAAATATGAATGGAGACGATTGGACTACGAAAGCGTGAGGAACTTGGATAGAAATACAGTATCTTCTTGTGACAAACAAATCTACATGAAGAGCAGTGCTTTTGTCAGAATTAGTATGATGTAAAAAATTGTTTTTGGACAGCGCCAATCACAACATTCGTCTCGGGAAAAATACTGATGGAATAAAAGTTGGTAGAAAAAATCGTACAACTGCAAGTGTGGAAAATAGCACTATGAGCTAATTATGTCAACATTTACTTGATACTCAAGCTTTTTAATGGTTTTATTGCTTTTTCGCAGAGCTATGATGTTTGGAATACACCTAAGAGTGACAGGCAAAAACTTGGCATCAGGCGGGAGCTGGACCTAAGTTTCACCCATACCGGGGACGCGTGTTGCCCTTACATTATCGAGGCACCGTTTCGCCATCACTCATTCTTCAATGTCTCCGTCATAGCTATCAGCCATCAACCTTCACTAGGTTTGATCGGGTTAGCAATGTGCTTTATAGACCCAATTAAGCTGGCAACCACTGTGATATATAAAATGCTTATGATTTTATTAGTTTACGTGATTTTCCGCGTTGTTATAATGTTTCAAGTAAACCTAAAAGAGCTGAGCGATAAGCAAAATTTCGACCTCAGACGGGAGTTGAACCTGTTGGGTACTATATATATATATATATATATATATATATATATATAATATATATATATATATATAGTGAACAGGGTGAGAGGCTATCTGAGTTTATCTTGACGACCTAAACCATCCATGGTAACTCGCAATTCCAAAAGCCTCTTTCTCAGCGATGGACGTGGGAGTCTCCCAATGGAGAGTACCATAACGAAATAGATTACATCATAGTAAATCGAAGGTTTTGCCTGACCGACGTCGCTGTTGTACTAAGTTCTACACGAGATCAGACCATCGCCTCCTTCGCGCAACATTCCGATTTTCGAGGAGAGGAGAGAAAGCCGCTAAATTCAAACAACGAAGTCCCAGAACAACCATAAACTGGGATGTATTCAAATCATTAGTCGGCTCTTGGGAAGATACCGTTGTCGACAACATCGACGAAGAATACGATCGACTCGTTGAATATCTTCGCGTTAGTGCTATGAAAGTTGAGAGTCCTAAGGTCACGAAGAGACGCTTGTCTCCGCAGATACTCGAGCTGATACGTCAACGTGGAATCGCACGAGCTGCAGGCAACCGAGTCTTACGTTCGAACTTGCGAAACGCTGCAGAGAAGCGATAAAAGAAGACCTTAAAGAGAGAAGAGCAGCAGTTATGGCAGAAGCTGCAGAAGCTGGGAAGAGCATTCGCAAAGCCCAGCGAGGCTTCGCCAACTATAAGACCAAGATGATTGCACTCCGATACCCTGACGGGACACTTACAGCTTCGAGAAGGGCTATGGAGAAAATCATCCACCAATACTACTCGGATCTCTTCGCCAGCCATGTCCTCTTACCGTCATATAATTGAAAGAGGACGAATATGTCGTTCCACCGGTCCTTCCTTCCGAAATCCGACATGCTATATCGTCGGTGAAGAACAGAACAACACCCGGTCCAGACAGGATTAGACCAGAACACTCTGAGAATCTGCCGCCAGTTCTCATCAACACCCTGGCTCGGCTCTTCACTCGCTACCTGTCAGAATGCAGGGTCCCTATTCAATGGAAAACCAGCAAGACCGTATTGTTGTTCAAAAAGGGAGACCATCACGACATAGGCAATTATCGCCCAATCTGCTTGCTGTCCGTTGTCTATAAACTCTTTACTCGAGTCATCCTAAACAGGATTGACAGAACACTGGACGAAGGACAGCCATGCGAACAAGCAGGGTTCCAAAAAGGATTTAGTACCATGGACCACATCCACACGATTACAAGACTCATTGAAGTTTCACGAGAGTACAAACAACCACTCTGTCTCACTTTCATCGATCTGAAGAAAGCCTTTGATTCAGTGGAAACAGAAGCGGTTATAGAGGCTCTGGATAACCAGGGCGTCCCTACTCGGTACATAATGATCCTTCGTGAGCTTTATGAAGATTTCACGACCAAAATATCTCCATTCTACAGCAATATCACCATTGACGTAAGAAGAGGGGTTCGACAAGGCGATACAATTTCGCCAAAACTATTCACTGCGACCCTACAAAACGTCATGCGAACATTAGAATGGGACGAAATGGGAGTGAAAATTGACGGTCGACAATTAAACCATCTTCGCTTTGCTGACGATATCGTTCTCATAACACCAAACATCAGCCAAGCGGAACGAATGTTGACCGATTTCGATAACGCCTGTGGAAAGATTGGTCTTCAACTGAATCTAACGAAAGCAATGTTCATGAGGAACGGATGGGTTTCTAATGCCCCATTCACGCTCAACGGAACGACAATTTCCGAATGCTCCAGTCACATCTATCTAGGTCGTGAAATCAACATGATGAACGACCTAGCTCCAGAGTTGAGCAGGAGAAAACGAGCGGCTTGGGGAATGTTTAAGAGCATCGAAGGCGTAGTGAAGAGGACAAAGAACATCCGACTCCGTGCCCACCTTTTCGACTCGACAATTATCCCTGCCCTGACGTATGCAGCAGAAACCTGGTCGCTACGTAAGCAGGATGAAAGATCACTTGCCGTTATCGAACGCGCAGTCGAAAGGTCGATGCTAGGAGTATCTCGTATCTTCGCAAATGAGAGAAATGATCCGAACTTCCGACCTACGTCAACGATCGAAAAGCAGAGACGCCGTTCTACACGCCAGGATATCGAAAATAAGGTGGGCCGGACACGTGATGCGCTTCAACGACAACCGATGGACGAGAGCCGTTACCGACTGGATTCCTCGAGACGTCAAGCGCTCTAAAGGAAGACCACTGACCCGTTGGTCCGATTTCTTCACGAAAGCGATAGAAGAAAGATATGATGCTCAGCGAATCCATAGAGCGAGGAGAACCCACTGGGCTACTCTTGCACGCGATAGGGAAAAATGGAAGAGTTGCTGGTACCCGCTCGAGTCACTCGACGATCAACGGGACGACAGGTGATACAGGTGATATATATATATATATATATATTATATATATATAATATCAGTGGCTGTCTGAATAACTGGGTTTATGAAGCGATATTGCTAACGCGATCAAACGTGTCGAAGGTTGGTGGCTAATATTTATGACAGAGACATGGAAGAATGAGTGGCAGCGAAACGGTGAATCAGTGGTGTAGTGGTAGCACGCGCCTCTGATATGGGTAGGACGTGGGTTTGACTCCCGCCTGAGGTCGGATATTTGCTCACCACTCAATTCTATTATGTGAATTTCAAATTTTTTTGAATTTGGAGACCTACATTATTCAGCCGACGCCAGCCGCAGTTCGATGGCTGCCATTTCGGCGATTTCGTCTTCATCGCAGGTTGGACGTACGCTTCGAATTGGCGCCCACGCAGGAAACATCACATTGAGCGGAACTGAACCATGAATCGGAGGGGCAGCGTCCGGAGTGTAGGCTAGGTGTGGCAAGACCTCTACTCCCTCCAATTCAGTAATCTTCTACTTGGTTTTCAATGCTATGTAAGGTTTGGCATTGTTTTGATGAAAGAGCGCGCGCTTTCGACTAGTTAATGTTGGGTACTTTTCCTCCAGCGTATCCTATACTCGCTGCTCCCAATAGAGTCTCTTATGGAAATATGACTAAGATTTCCATGATTTTACGATAACCGGTATTACGTTGAACAAGCATGAAATTGGAATTTTTCATTGGTGTCAAGGAACTTTGTCGTCCACCTAGTAGTAAAGTAAGAATTTCGTCTGCTTATTCAGGGGCGACCTCATCCAGAAATCTCTTCAATCTAACGGCACCGCATCGTCTCATGCAGTCCACATAGATTGAGCTCTATACGCACGACTTCATCGCCCAACCATTCACATCGTACGATTAGACCACATAGCCGAGCTTGAACATTGCGTCCTCTACACAACGGTCGTTATAATCACGATTAACCCAATCGGAAAATTTGGGGTGATTGATTCATTGCGACCAAGATTTACAGCGGCGGCTGTTCTAAAGAATATCAAAATTTAGGTCAAAATTTGATATATTTTCACTTTCACACACTAATTTCGAATTCCAAGCAAAATGTCAAAGCACGACGTAGGTCTGTGATTATTGATGACATGAAAATCCTTGAAGTAAAGTGATTTTACCAATCTCGCTTTGCAGTAGAAGTAAGAAACTGAAGGTGCTTGTTCGGTTGCCTGTGAATCTGCAGAAGAAGCTGGACGCAACATCCTTAATTATAATACAGACTGGGAGCAACAAGAGGCAGAAGTCGAGAGAATGAAACAAACTGGACGATCACTTGCGATGCGACAGTCAGAAATTGAAGACTATATTGAAATTATACTTAAGTACCTCATTTTTTCTAAGCATTTTGGGCTTTTTTACAATTCAGCAGTGAAAAGAAGCTCAACTGTGGATATTGCCGTATCACATGATAGTCAATGAAGAAGTTTGTTGGGAAAGAATAAAAATATTGGCTTCTTATGTTGAAGGCTTTCCATTTCGGCTATAGATGTGTAAAGCCATTAGGCACATTTATGAATTACAGTTATTACAATTACAGCACAATAAAAACCTTTTATTTGTGCAAAAAAAAACCTTGCAATGGACTTGTTGGTTATTCTGCTAGAAGTTCGAAATTGCATGCGCTGAAGCTTGGATTATAGGTCTGATGATTTACCAGCTCGTTATTTCTTCTGCAGTGCAGGTTCACTAAATCAATAACTTCATGCTTCGCTAAATGTTAGTCCAATAAAGGAGGTTTGAGCACTAAGACGTGTGAGGAAGAGTATCGAATATCATTTCCTATGTTTGTAGACCACTGAGGAATGATTTAGAGAACAGAAAACATGCGTGTAAACCAGGCATTGAGCTCTGGTGTCCAAGACAGCCTTCCTACTTTGATAAAGATGATCATTTAACGGAGCTCATGTATGAGAAACAAAACCCTCTCCGCTGATCACAGTGATCTACTTCACGTCATCAAGCAACGTTAGAGATGACTGAATGCATGCGTTTTTTGCTACGATAGAAAGTCCATTTTCACCACCAGTTTTCACATTTTATTGTGCGGATCCTAGCATTTAATTCGTTTTTTGTCTTCTTCTTGGGCGACATAGAATACTGGTTGAGCATGTCCCCTTGCAATCTCAAAGACAGCTGGTCGTGGCGTTCTATAAAGAGTACGTTGTTTACTGCAAGAGAGTGTTGGGGGTGGAGATTTGCCCTGCCCCGCGCCTCGGGAAGCATAATAAACACTCAGCCACGACTCCCTCCTCCCTCTTCACTCCACCTTTTGCCAGTTTAGCCTGTACAATCAGTTTGATGCATAACCAATGCTCTTCTTCCTGATAAATTTGGTAACAATCGCTTGATCTCGCAAGGATGTAAGGCTCGACGAGAGTAAAATGCAGGGCCAAAACATTGAGCACATGTGTGTTGTAAGGCACCACTGATCAATGCGATCCCCGCGCACCTTAATCGGTGACTTTCATCGAATCCACGCAAGGTGCGTCCGCCAGCGTGGGAACGACTTGACCTCCCTTTGCCCCAATTAGTAGCCGCCTACAGTACTACTCTTCGTTATAAGACCTCACACGAAGGAGTCCAGAATTCAGCTGCGGGTCATGCAACGAAAAGTATGTAATGCCCTAGTTGTACGCGTACTGCTGATTATTTTCGATAAAGTACTAACTACTAATTCTGTTTGAGAACTACAAGTACTTTCCAGGAAAAGTGATCTCATGACCAATAGTCATTCAGAGCTCATTGTTGTAAAGCCGATTGTACAAGTTATTGATTGCTGAATAAATATTCCAGGCAAGAATGTACAATTCAGTCAAATGCATTACAAACTATGGGCAAAAAAATATGCATTTTTCACCAAAAGAATGCTCTGTACATTGGCGATAGTACATTCTTTTACACATACATCAGCTACATGCTAAAAACACCTCGTAAAGCTGCGCCTAGTAAAATACTTGTTTGCGAGTTACATTCTCCCCAATATAAAGCCATGAAAATGAACGCTAGTAGCTTTGAACATGTTATTATCTTCGAGGTATAACACTCTGTCTGGAAATGCAGATCTCATGGGTACGTCAGCGTTCTATTTTTTTCTAAAAAATGCCTTCTTAAAGGTTCCAACATTGAGTTTCATTTCTTGTAAAGAATAAAATTCCACTAAAATACAAACTTTATTATCCCATCAGTAAATGCTTTGTGGATCTCTGTGAAGTTGGAGCGTTCCACAGTGCGCTCGTTATTGATTGTCAGAGAATGTTGAAGAGGGGGTTATCAACTTCACGTCGAACCACACCGAGCATAACTATCTACTTGGACACCAACTTCCCTGGTTATGCAAATATTTAGAAAAGTATGTAGAAAAATTTTCACTGTTATTACCACGCTATTACATTTGAAGATATTTTGTTTCTATATCTTAACATAGGAGAGCGCGAACGTGACCGAGTCGCTGTGATGCTCTTCGCAGCGTGAGGAGGGAGGCAAACCACACCTTCCGGCACTCATCGATATTCAACAACGAACGCCCTACGAAACGCGACAGCCAGGCTATTGTCATGATTGCAAGGAAACGTGCTCTATCAGTATTCAACGACGTTCAGGAAAAAGAGGAAAAAACGAATTGAATGCTGCAAGTACTGGGATACACATAGCGAAAAAAAGTGTGATAGGGACCACTGTGATAAGGACCAGATAGAGGACTAATAATATCAAATACCTTAACATGAGCAGTTCGTACTAACATGTGTCAAATTATTTCATTCATCAACAATACAATGCGATGATTTTAGCACATTGACTAAGCCCTTTGGTGCACACGTTTTCACTGCTTCGATCTCGCTTCCTAGGCTTACCAGGATTCTAATGAAGCAAGAATGAGTTTTACAAAGAATATTTACATTTAGTCGCAACAGTATCTGAAGCTGTGGCTAACTGGAATTGACAAATGGATTTACTTTGTGTTTTTTTTATTCCCGGCATCTTCAGATTTGCAATCGTTTGATTTGAGCGTTGACTGTTTAATGAAAGATAGCGGCAGTGTGATGGCTTTCGATGCTAAAAGCAAATTGAGTGCTTTGATTTTTTGCGATACAAATCGTCACTGTGATAGTTCGGTTTAGTAGGCAAAATTTCCTAAGTACATTGGTGCTTGGATTGAGTGAGCTGCCTTTACATGTTTCACAAGCTCCTGTGACCGTTCGCAGACACACGTCGTACTCCTTGTAGACGACTGGACTAAGGCAGAGACACCCGCAACGTAGGAATATATCTATTTACACAATACTCATTTCTCTCCCCAACTATTTCTCCTGTTGATCGGTGTAGTTTCACTAAAAGATGACTGCGTTAGGCAAAATATTAGGGTTGAGCAAAAAGTTTTGGAAAATTTTTAAAAATTTCATTTTTACGCACAAGTTAACAACAAGAACAACAGCAATTTCTCTTCAAATTATAGACAACCATTGAGAGTTTGTGTGGATCCTGGCGAGTCTTCTTGTGGAAAGAGTCAACTTGATGAATTTATTGAGAACGATCCACGTGGCAGCACCAAGTCTTCAGCCAAATCGCGAGTGCTTGATGAACGCTCAGCATCCAAAGCGGCCTGCAGATCACTTCTCGTTCGCAGCAGGTTGCCGGTCAAAACAAAGCATCTTCCGAGGTCAAAACAGCTTTTTTCAGTAGCTTAAGCCATGCGCGCACAGTCCATTTTATGTCCATGCCAGCACCTTCACCCACATTAATCTCATTGATGGCTTTAGGAATCGTTATGCCTTTTCTTCAATAAGAAAGGACTAACACACTGAAATCAAAGTGCTCGATAGGCATTCTAGAGCTGAAATTAATGAGCTAGGTAAATATATACAAAGCTGTCAAAATGTATATAAATCCAGCAAAAAGGAACACAAGGTTGTCGGAGGTTGGAACTTCCAAATTTTTCCCGAAACCTTTTGCTCCACATAACAGCTGCGGCAAGTGTTACAAGCCTTCATGGATAGAAAAGAAGTTCGTTGCATTGCTACTCAAATTCTGCTAAGAAGATGAATATTTTTGTGGCTGCAATGGAAGCTTTGACTAGTAGACGGACGAGATGAAAATCAACAAGATCATTGTCTCAGTGACGGACCGATGAGCGCAAATAATGCTTTTACAACCAACATCTTTATGCTTTGCTGTTGCCCACATTTTGATCAGGAGTAAAG